GTAAACCTAAAAATTTACAGCCTCTTTTGAGAGAGATGCATCTTAGCTCAGAAAATTGTTATTGAATATGTCAATGCTGTTGTAATGAAATGTTTCTTCTAAGTATGTGGTTATTAGATAAATAATTTTTTTAAAAAGGACAATTTTTATTTCAGATAAGCCTCCAAACTTCTGAATGTAGACAGAAATATTATTGGAAATTTTCTAATCAGGAAAATATGTTGGGTAAATTTACATTTCCAGTAATTGCTGGTTCTGGTCCCAGATGAAACCGGGAATTGAAATAGATCAAGTGCCAAACAGGCCTAAAGCTGAAATTTTTTCATTTACTAAAGAAAGGGCAAAGGACAAAAAGAGGAAGGGTGTCGAGAGCTGCATGGAGACTCAGTCCGGTATAAGTATGGAAAGTAATTTTCTTGTCTATAAAAACAAGGGGGTTCAGTTTTCAAAGGGAGTCTTAGATCCTTGCTCTCTTAGAAAATCTTTCTAATATTTTCTTGGGGAATTTGTCTTCCTCAGTGGGAGGCCTCAAGTGGTAACAGTGATGTGATATCTACTCTATCACCAGAATGCACCTGCTACCCTCAGAAGTCAACCCTACTTCACAGTTTTGTTTCTAAGTCACTATGCTATATGAAAATATAAACCCTTGTCTATAGAAGGCAAAAATAAGTAACAGAATACTATGTAACATTAGGAAAAGTTATTTGAGATTCCCTTTTTCTAATAAGGAAATCTTACTCTTCTTATCCTAAACTATCAAGTATGTGTATCTGTGAAACTTATTGTGAAGGTTACTAATTGATAAGTAGATAAATATGAATAATGTGTAATTATATAAAAAACACAAAACAGTCAAGTGTGGGGGTGCATGCCTTTAATCTCAGCTCTCAGAAGGCAGAGGCAGGTTGATCTCTATGAGATTGAGGCAGCCTTGTCTACATAGAGAGCTCCGGGCCAGTTGAAGGTACAGAGAGACCCTGTCTCAACCTGCTCCAAAGATATAGAACATACAACAGATAAATAAAAAGAATGTGTATCTGTAATATGGTTAAGTTATAGCTTACAGAAGTCTTATTTTTATCCAAGAGCATCCTCATCCATAAGGTATATTTAAGTAAACAACCAAAAATGGTGGTGATGGTAGTGGAGGGAAAGCTGGAGAGAGATGCCCTTACCTGGCTAGAAAAGTTCCCATAAGTATTTGTTCTAATTTTTCATTGACAGAGCCAGGGAAAACTTCCAGAGAATCCATACTTACACATGCAATCACTTATTTCAGGGAGAAAGTATTTTCCTTTTGTGAAGATCTTCAGGACAGTGAAGACTTAGCATCCAACACCCCTTCTCAATTTTCTACCTTTTCAATTAAACAAGGTGTGTCTTCACATTTTTATTTATCAATTTTTAGACGACTAAAAATTTCAGAAAAGGGGACTGGAGAGATGGTTCAGGAATTAAGATCACTAGCTGCTCTTGCAAAGAACCTGGATTCAGTTCCCAGCACTCACACGACAGCTAACAACCGTCCATAACTCCATTTCCAGGAGGCTCTGACGCCCTCTTCTAGCTGCTGCAGGTTTGCACGTATGTGGTACACTTATATACATGCAGGCAAAACACATACATATAAGATAAAAATAAATCAAAATTTTTTTTTAAATCCCAGAAAACATAACAAAGACAGTTTTCTTTTAAAGGTGTCTGAGGAGATTTTCATATGAAGAGGCTCCTTTCACTAATGAGCCAAGCAGATTCTTCCGGTGATACTTCATGGTAAATCCACAAAAGACTCCTCTCCTTTGTTTAGGATTTCTGGTTTGCTAGCTTTTTCCAGCCCTTTAAAACACTCTGACATGGTAAGAAGAGAGTATGTGAACAAACAAACACAACTAAGGAAACATTTAAGTCCAGTGGAGGCAACATCTACTCCTCGTCAGATTTATGTATTCTGCAACCTGCAGCCTCGAAGCGTCACTAGCTTTGTTGTCAAGTTTAGCAGTCTTTCTCTGAAACTAGAACACAATTGTGGAACAGGCATTACTCTTAAAGCGATGTCCAGTCAATCTGATAGGATAGGATTCAACCTCTGCAACAGTTTTTCTATATAAGGTATTTGGAGTAGAAGCAGTCCACTCCACGGAATTCGTTAACTCCAGTTCACTGCTTCTGGGCACCAGCTATCCCAGAGCACTTTCTTCCTCCCTCCCTATTAATCACCTAGCTAGAATGGAATTCCCATACCTTTTCTTCATAGATTGTCATTACTCATTTGTTGTATTTTTAACCCCGACTGCTGCCTTTCCTTCTTTTCTTTCCTACTCACTAAGGGAAATGCTGAGATTCAGGGTAATGGAACAATTTGATGAACAAGTCTTAGGAACCTAAGCTCTAGTGCATGAAGAGAAGAAATCTGTAGTGTGGGTAGCCAAGATTCTGAGTTTAAGCCCTCATCTGCCTCAGTACCGGCTGGCCATTGTTCAGGAGGTCCTCCTTGAAGCGAAGTTTCCGTTCCAGGTCTTGAATGACAGCATCCTTTGTGCCTTGAATCTCCTCATCAGAAGCTATTCTAGCAGTTCTGCTGCCCTTCTTTGGAAATCCCCTGCAAGACAAAAGCATAAGGTAGCACAGTCAGTCAGTGGTCAGGCATATGGATGAACCCAAGTCAAACATGCAAGTTCAACAAACATTACAGTGTATGAACAAGTCCCTTCCTTCCTTCCTTCCTTCCTTCCTTCCTTCCTTCCTTCCTTCCTTCCTTCCTTCCTTCCTTCCTCCCTCCCTCCCTCCCTCCTTCCCTCCCTCCCCCTTCCTTCCTTTTTGAGACAGAGTCTCTCTGTAGCCCCAAATTGGCCTGGAACTTGCTATGTAGATCAGGCTGACCTGGATCTCACAGAGATCCTCCTGACTCTGTCTTCTGAGTGCTGGGATTAAAGGCGTGGGCCACCAGGCTCAGCTATTGTTTTCTTTCTAGTATGTCTGTTGCAACTCATACAGAAAGAAGCATGAATGATGGTTTCAGCATTTCAGAAAACACTAAGTAGAACTGGTTTTTGGAGAGGGTTTGATACCTGAGGGGAACAGTCTTTCAATGGTTCGGTAAATGCC